TGAGAAATACAAATGCTACAAATAAGAGAAAATAAATATTTTATTATTATACCAATTATACTATTAACCCGATCTTGAAAATAGATAAATATATATATATATATTAATAATCGAATCTTGAAAATAAGGAAAAAAATGTAAGAAAGGTCATAAATATATTTATTTATGTTTCCAAATTGTACCAAAAATTACCAATTTTGTCCTATCCAATGAGATTGAGATGGATTTTAAAATAATTAAAATTTATTTTTGTCCATATACTAAATCATATTTAGTTTTACACTTTTAAATATAATTCTCATTATAATTAAAATTGAATAATTAAAAGTAGGTGTGATATGGCTTTAAATTTAGACCCTCAAAAGTTGGGTTTCTTTTAAAAGTAGACAAAGTAAAAGAGGAAAAAAACAATTTTCAAACCAAGTAAATAAATTTCTTGGGATACACTTTTAACAGAAATGAAACCATATATATAATTTTAATAAGTTATTTGAAAATATTTCTACCGATAATATTTTTTCATGTATTTTCTATCAAGGGTGTGTGTTGTGCAGTCCAACACGGTTAGTCTTCACGAAGACGAATCTAGTTCTCATAAACTATAAATTTATGTTACAAAAGTATATTGTGTTCGATGTTTATAGATTATACATGTGTTTGAGTTCTTGATTATTTTAGAAAAATTTAGTATGGATGAGAATATTCTTTATTACTTTAGGAGTTTTTAACATCTAAAATAGTGGATACAAAATTGGATCGGTAAAAAATTAGTTCCAATAGATTTGGAGATTTAGTTCGAGAGAGGTACGGTTTAGTGTTTAGGGTTTAGAGTTTTAGAATTTAGGGTTTAGGGTTTAGAGTTTAGGGACTTATAGGTAAAATTTAGGGTTTAGGGTTTTAGAATTTAGGGTTTAGAGTTTTGAGAGGTAAGATTTAGAGTTTAGGGTTTTAGAATTTAGGGTTTAGAGTTTAGGGATTGAGAGGTAAGATTTAAGGTTTAGGATTTAGGGTTTAGAGTTTAGGGATTTAGAGATTAGAGTTTAAAATACTTTACAGTATTTTATTTTTACCTTGGTTATGGATGGTTTATTTGAATGAATTATTTTTATTATTTTTAATTTTATGATCTATTTTTGTATTTTCCTTCAGTAACAAATTGTTTAAGGAGTGTCGGTATTTAATTGACTTTAGTTCTATAACAACGTTGAACTATGTTAGGATGTTAAATTTTTCACATATGGCTAATTTTTTTTTTTTTTTTTAATAACCCGACAACCCAACTCGAAATTTTTTAGGTTGGTTTGAGGTACCAATCCAATCCATCCAAACTTTTGGATTGATCCAAAAAATTCCTTGAGCCCAATCCAACCCCACCCATGTGCACACCAAATCATATATGGGTGGAAAATTGATCCAAACCTAAAATAAGATGATTCTAGACCATAAAACTTATATATGGATTATATATATATTGTACGAAATTTTATATTTTTAATATAAATTATATTAAAAAATAAACCAAATTTAAAATTTTTTTAAGAAAATATTTCTACAAATTTGAGGGTAATAAGGGTTGAACTAACACAATTCTCCACAATGGTATATATTATCTTTTCTCATACCAATGAAGTTAGTATTTCTCACTTATAAACGCATGATCATGTCCTAAATTAGTCGACGAGGGACTTTCATCCAACACCTCCCCTCGAACAAAATACCTCCCCTTAATCGAGTCTTTTTTTTTTTTTTTTTTTTTTTTTTTTTT